GAGTTTCAGACGTTAAACTGGTTTAAGATCGCTTGATGAAAATGGGCCTTAGATCAAGTCTTTAAACGGCGTTTAAAGCTATAAACGCCCAAAATCGGCCAGTTCATTTCTTTAAACGCGTTTAAGCACAAACTAAGTTTAAGGTTCTGGTGAAATCCGTTTCGCGCGTCAAACTGAGTTTCAGACGTTAAACTGGTTTAAGATCGCTTGATGAAAATGGGCCTTAGATCAAGTCTTTAAACGGCGTTTAAAGCTATAAACGCCCAAAATCGGCCAGTTCGTTTCTTTAAACGCGTTTAAGCACAAACTAAGTTTAAGGTTCTGGTGAAATCCGTTTCGCGCGTCAAACTGAGTTTCAGACGTTAAACTGGTTTAAGATCGCTTGATGAAAATGGGCCTTAGATATTGCAGCTTTACTTCAGCTTATTCGAGGCTCATACCTATATTACAAGTGCTTGATCCGACATCGAGCTAAGAATACTAAACATAACACACGCCACTTTTGATTTTTAACGGATGTTTTCCGACGACTCCTCTACTGATAAAAGCTTATTGAAATTCGCGGCTTGTGCTATGATCGTTAATCGTCGATTAAAAAAAAACGTTTCCGTTGTCAAAGGACATGGACTTATTGAAATAAATACATATGTATACAATAATGTTTATTTTTAGTCTCATGTTCAGTAAGGCAACTCAAGGAAAGGAGCCTAAAAGTCAACGATTTAATTGAATGATGTGCTTGGAACATTTTGTATTATTTGCACAGTAAAACTAAATTAAAGCGTTCGAGTCCAATTAAGGCAGTGGAAAGAACTTTCCGACTGGACTGGTAGTAGGTCTTTATACTCCGGCGCTTCAAGAAGAGATTGCCTTATATGGACATGTTCTGTACATGTGAAAATAGTTCTCCATATCCGCTGCCAACAGAAACAAGCGAACAAATAATCTCTTGGAAAGTTTATTTACCGGATAAAACGATGCATACATTTGATCTCGTGCCAAGTAATAAATAACAATATATTTTTATACTAATTCGCCAGTATAGTAGGAAAAATCAGATACATTTTAAAAACCTTCACAAATGTATATCACGGTGTAACGCTGAATTTATGCCATCTAATCAGTGAAGGTCTATAAAAAGCGAAACCGTGTCATTTGCCTTTTTAAGTAAGATCACAGAATTGGATTGTTTGAAAGCAGATCTCGAGAAAAGCCGCTATTTATGGCAGCATTCTTCTCCATGTGGGAAACCACAAAGCATATGAAATTGGACTAACAGAACGTATAGGATATTTGATTAGGTAGTGAAATAACACATACGACTTAACTTGAATTAATTAGCTTTACTAAGTATACGAAATATACTGGGTGATTCAAAATTGGCGTCATTCCTATATGGAGTCGTTGTCTGCGAGTGTTTTAGGAGTACAGAAAAAATAGTAAAGAAATTAATTGTTATTAAAAACTGAAAAATTTGCAAAAAACTAGATCAGAGGGATGGCAACAATGTTCTACATGGTCTAATCATCTGCCTAATTAGCATTACGTAAATAGCTGTTGCTTCGTAAATATTGAAAACCCCAGTAACCATGGGGAACCAAAATACAGAAAGTGACAATCAAATAGACAAGGACAAACGGTAAATTCAACAGGATTCTTTGAATGTGGACCGTACTTTTTCGAAATGTCAATATTGACAACGAGATATTGTTATTTATTGTCCTCATAACCTCGAATTGATGTGTATACAAATAAACATGCATTTTGGTCTTTAGGTCCAAACAGGTTAGTCTGGAACGCGAACATCTATTGTCGTCCCTTCCAGTCTCTCTAGCCCAGAACTAATCGCATATCCGCAAATTCGTGAGAGGAGCTTCAACGTAAGTCACAGTTTAACAAATTATTGTTATTATTGACAAGGGCTGTCAAAGAGTTGAAATTCGATTTTCAACTGTTAATATTTTCTGTTTTTCTCGTACGCTCCAAGTCACGGAATGACACGAATTTTGAATCACCCTGTATATGTACTTTCTATTAATATTTTCTGTGACCACACACTGTGTATGTCACAGAACCCACATCAAACCGGACGGTTACTTTAAAGAATCCCTTATCTGATAAATTCCATGCGGAGGGCTCCCCTGAAAAGGCGTAAAATTCGCGGTTGCTAAATTGATCTTCTAAATATTGCACCAGCTTTGTAGGAATAACGTGCTCGTTTCCGTTCTCTTCCACGTAAATCTTCGCAAATCCTTTTACAATCTCGTCGAAGAGATGCTGGTTGGTTTCTCCTTCATCACCCTCCACACTGACCTGAGATTCATTTTTTTCTCTATGTTACATTTCGACATAAACTCTTATAACAATAACATACGGTATACAAATTTTAGGTTTTTTCTGGTTCTACTTTAAATAACGCTTAAAATTAAGCAGTTTTAGCTAAAAAAATTCCTGGATGGCCCATAAATTATGCCAAAACACACTTAGGTTTGACGCATAGAACAAGGCTTATTGTTTGAAGCTTGAGGAAAATCACCATTTTGATAGGGATGACATGAAATACTTGTCACAGGTATTTTGGAACAGTTATCGATATGGAACCTGTCACCGATATTGTAACCGATATTTAAAATAACATGTGATTTGAAATAACAGGGCTCGCCTACGATGCTAGTCAATACCAGTACAACATCTGGGATTTCGATATTTCAACAAAGCAAAAAGGCAAATACCTGCCTTTATGACTTTTGATTCCCCGCGGCGTTGTCAATTGGCCTGAGTTTTAGTGAAAGGAGATATTTTATTCTCGTGAAGTGGTAAGGTTTTGTATGTATGGGAGTGGGACGTGCACCCATGATTCGGCAAATAGCAATATTCAATGAACAAAACATATCGGGAACAGCAGGAACAGCAGGAACAGCCGTCTCCGGTATTTTCTTTAATGTGGCAGGCCTGTGAGTCACTTGAGGCTGTGACTGACTGACTGTTTTTTTCGGAGTTCTTTGTCCTTGAAACTTAATCTTTTTCGACCAAATGTCGTTTTTCGAACGACGACGACGTTTGAGACCCGAGACGAAGTCGAGGGTGTCAATCCGTCAGGAGTTCGAAAAACAAATTTTCGCCCTCGTATCGAACACTATTTTTTATTCGAATGAAAGATTACA